CTTTTTGGTCCAGAGAATTGCTTTGGTTTTTGCTGCTCATTTTATGCTCTAAACCTGCCTTGACTTCTATGTGGGTTCCTTGAATTTGGTTCCTTTGCCTTCAGACAATCTCTTTTCTCTTGCCCAATCTTGGAGACAACAGCTAGCATGGAGATTTGTCAGGATTTTCATGCAGCCTTTATTGGGCTCTCTTCTAGGACATCCTGAAGGCAAGTGACACCAGTTCCTGACCATCCCAGGCCTCAGGTCCAGACCTTGTCTTCCTGGTACTACTGGGCTAGGGATCTGGTGTCCAGGAAGTAAAATTGGAGTGGTAGGAAATGTCCAGGCTGCTGAGATCCTTGTTAAGACATTTAGAATCGGTCCGAGGGATGGTGAGCAACTGGATGAATTTAAGTGGTGGAATCAGAAGAGCAAGATCCATTTTAAAAAGATGACCTTGATCATCTGGTGGAAGTGAGCATTGTGTGGAGGACCATTATGAAGCTGTGCCGGTAAGCGAGAATTGAGGAGCAAAGATAGCATCAGAGAGCAAGTGAAAATATTCAAGAGATTTGGCCGGCGCCGTGGCTCAATAGGCTAATCCTCCACCTTGCGGCGCCGGCACACCGGGTTCTAGTCCCGGTCGGGGCGCCGGATTCTGTCCCGGTTGCCCCTCTTCCAGGCCAGCTCTCTGCCATGGCCAGGGAGTGCAGTGGAGGATGGCCCAGGTGCTTGGGCCCTGCACCCCATGGGAGACCAGGAAAAGCACCTGGATCCTGGCTCCTGCCATCGGATCAGTGCGGTGCGCCGGCTGCAGCAGCGGCCATTGGAGGGTGAACCAACGGCAAAGGAAGACCTTTCTCTCTGTCTCTCTCTCTCACTGTCCACTCTGCCTGTCAAAAATTAGATGATAAAAAAAAAAAAAGAAATATTCAAGAGATTTTAAAAGGCAGTGTTGATGAGGATTGTTGACTTGGTGAAAGGGAAAGAGACAGATGTCAAGGGAACTTGGAGGGTGATGGTGGCCCATTTCTTTCAATCAGGAGCAAAGGACAATAGTCAGGTTTAGGGAAGTGTGAGTAGGACAGTAACACACTTAATCATATGAAAGCTTCAGTTTGAGACACCTATGAGAAATCCAGGTGTAGCAGCTCAGTAAGTAGATGAAAGTATGGTAAGAGAAGGCTAAAGAAATAGGTCTTATAAATTGTTACTGGCAGCCCTGAGCAATGTAGCTATGTAGAATATTATTCAGCCCATATAATTATAATGATTAAGACATGATTAAGATAATGATTAGAAAAATGGGAATATGAGAAGAGCAGGATAAAAGAGTGTGCCTATTTTATATTTTAACTACATAAAAATTGTGTTTGCAAATGGATAAAAGTGAGAAGGGAAAACAGAAAAATTAAATGTAACAGATTTGTTAAGATTTTGGGTTCTTTTTAGATTTAAGTATTCATATACTGCCTCTTTCCAAAAGCAGTTTAATAATATCATGACACATTGTTAATTTTTAAAAAGATTTTATTTATTTATCTCAGTGGTAGAGTTACAGAGAGAGAGAGAGACAGAGAGAAAGATCTTTCATCTACTGGTTCACTCCCCAGATGGCCGCAGTGCTGGAGCTGGGCTGATTGCAGATTTGGCCCTGTATGAAATAGGGAGCCTATGGAAGATGTCAGCAAAGAGAGTAACTTGATTAGAAAGATTATTCTAGATGTAGCAAGGTAAATGGGTTGTCAGGGATCAGGAGAGGCCAAGAGAGCTGTAGCTGTTGCTATAATATGAGAGCCTGATAGGGAAAGAGGGCAGGAGAAATGGGATGGAGGTGAGAAATATTCTTAAGGAAGAATCAGCAATTCTTGGTGATCATGTAGAAACCGAGAGAAAGAGAAGAGTCGAGGATGAATCTGGGGTTTCCGGCTTGGGTGATGAGATCTTGCTCTTCACCAGAGAGGGGGAAAACAGGAGGAGGAGCAGGCTGCGGTGGAGAGATGGTACGTTTTGTTACCCGGAGGTAAGGTGTCTGTGAGACAGCCACGTGATGGAAAAGTCTAGTGAGTAGTGAGATACACCAGTCTGGAGCATGGCTAACAGGTCAGGGCTAAGCTTTCTCAGACAAGGCAGGTAAGCCCCTGAGCTGGCGCTTGAAGGAGTCAACGCTGCCTCTATTTCACGCACCTGTTATATGCAGATGTGAGAGTATAGGTATCCACGAGTGAATTAGTGAAGTTGTGGATTCTGTGGCATTGGAAGGAACTTTGGGGACTACCCGGCCTCTCAGATTACCAATGAGCAGGTGAGGACACTGCAGTTGGAGGAAGAGAGGTTTGCCCAAACACTAAAGTTGGATTCAGAAACCTAGGCTTTGTGAATTTTTGGCCAATCACCTTTCTGCTCTGTGTGTCTGCTGGGGCGCATGCAGATGAGAAAGCTGAACGAAGGAAGACATGAAAGAGAAAACTGGCTAAGCTGGAGCGGGAAGCAGGAGTTTGCCACTCAGCAGCAGTAAACGTGGCAACTGTCCTTGACTTACGCCACACGCCAGCACGGCAGACCAAGGCCTGAGGTCCTGTGACAGTGACTTTCTCAAAAGGCAGTCAGATTCCCATGGCTCAGCTGGCATCTTGAGGCCCCGATTTGTAACCCTTTCCTTAGGCTAAGGGTCATTTGCTTCTATTGAAGACCTGTGTTGTTCTGGAAGAAACGTTGTCACCTGTCCAAGTCAAAAGTCATGACTTCCATTGTGCTGCAATTCAGGCCCATCCATGGACTTTCAAAGAGAAGGATGCAATTGGGTAATTGCTTTCTCACCGCTGTGATGTTTCAGGGCAACCAAACTGTAATGTCATTTCCATGCTTCGAAATTGTTTTTTATCGCAGATGAAATGAAATGAAGTTGTTAATGACAAGCCGAATGGGAAATGCATCTGGCAGCTCTGTGAGGGACATATCAGGCTGCCCTCCGCCCGTGAGCGCGACACCTTGCTTTTACTTTGCTCGGTTCTTCAAAGAGAAATGGCAAATAGCATTAGCAGAGCCGGCCAGGAGGATGCAAGGCGACTTCGTGGTGAAATTTGGTGTTTCCCTGCCGTTGGACACATTTGTGTTAAGTGCCTGATCCGTTCAAGTATCACAGAGGGAATTTCTGGATTTGGAGAGTATAGACTATCCCAGGTTGGTGGGTGGTTTGCAGGGTGGGTTGTTGGCTAAAGAAAACCAGCCATTTCTGAAGGCTGGCCTCTTTGAGGTCTGGGTAAAAGGTTAGGAAGACAGAACTCATTAGACAGAAAGGTGTTTTGTATTATCAAAGCCGGCCTTTCCCAAGGCAGTTTATCCTTTAGCCTGGGGGAAGATGAGTTTTCTAAATGACTTAACTAACTTCTCTTTTGGCATACTTTGCATTTGGTTCATTTCCAGGTACCAGAAAGAATGTAAATATGGAATGAATCAAGTTTTTCCACATTTTTCTCTAGCAGTTCTTTTATGAAGACCAGATTTTCCATAGAGGAAATTAAAAAATACATAAAACTGAGAAACCATGGTGTTGTTGAGAACGGCCTCATTTTCCATGTCACTTTGTAACTGGCAGTGCACACTGTATTCAAATGGCATTAATATAAAGTACGGAGTTTGTTTCAATTAGCTTCATTTTTCCTCAAGATGAGGAATTATCATAAATCCCTGAAATAACAGTTGACTCACAGAGATGCTTGTGTCATTGCATTGGGAATTTTTTATGACTTTTTTTTTTTAAAAAAAACTACACTTAGTTATAAAAATGATTAAACTCTGATTTAATGCATTTGATATGGGCCTTTTGCCTAAATTAGGAATGGGGAGAGACGGGCAATGGTATAACTCATTCCCAAAGACAGACAAATTATTCTTTTTGCAGTAAATTTGAGTAGAGTGATTTTTCCCCCTATCTTAGAGCATTTTTCTACATGAAACATCAGAATTTTCATTAGCATTCTGCTCGGATTTTTTTTTTCTAGGATGCCATTCTTTTGAATGATTTGAAAATATTCTTCTGGTGCATCTGTAAACATCTGAAAATTCGATATTTGGTAAAAGACAATTGATACGGACAGCTCAAAAAGCCAGAACTTTATGCAAAGCGGTATCTGGATTGCCATCTAAATGAAAACCGCATGTCAAACAGATGCCATAAATATGAATTCAGACAAATGCCCATTGATACTTTTTCCGTGGCGCATCTTAGATGGCTCGGTGAGCTACAGATCCTGTGAAGTGCAGCCTGCTTGGTATGCTGAAGGCAAGTTGAAGTTCCTTTCCTTTCTATTGTGACACTACAAGTCTAACCTTTATTGTCAGGGTCTCAGCTGAATTTTCTAACAGCAGATGAGTGGGAATTCATGGAAATAGCATGTGTTTCACCAGTTTCCTTTATTTCTCCCTCAGGACAAGCAGCTGTCAGGTCAGCCCCCCATTGCAGAGCTTGAAGCCATCAAGAGCAGGGATATATTTGCCTTGTTCTAAGGGCAGGTTTTCTGCCGGCTCGGGAGATCACATAAATACCTCCAGGCCAGCGTGTCTGAGTCATCAGTGAGTGACCTCCTGACAGGCTGAAACCGCAAAATGGGACTTATGGAGCCAGCAACGCCGGCTGCCCAGCTCCAGGTTCAGCCGAAGCCATCAATGGGAAGGGGAGAATTCATTCAGGTTCACACTCCCATTTTTCTACACAGTACGAAACTAATTCCAGAAGTAATATTCGCATAAAAATGCATCCATATAACTTTTATAGCCTCATTACCTCAAGTGCTTTATAAAATGAAAATCTGAGTCTTTGATAGAACTTGTTTTTTATCCTAAGTTCTTAGTCATTACAGCTACATGCAGTTTTAGAGGGGAAACCTGACTTTTTAAAAGCGCAATCTTATGTCTTGTCATGAGCAGAGCTCACTTGGGTGAGCGGGGGGTGGGGGGTGGGGGTGGTGGTGGTCGGGGGAGTAGGTTTGCTCTTAACCTGCCTCACTTCCTTCCCTAGGGAGCTGAACTGCATTTCCTGGGATGAAGCAGGAGGGGAAGGCAGTGCCGCTTGTTTGCAGGTGCATACCCTTCTTAGGTGGACACAAAGAACATGTTTATTTTGTGTCTCGTGAGAGCATTGGCCTTCCTCTTTCTTCTCAGCTATAATCTCTAATATTTATTTTTGGTGAGATCATTGCATTCCCTTCCTGCAATAACCCTGTGAAGTTGGTATTGATCTTATTCGCGATAGAGTCAAACCAAAGCCGATAGGGTAAATAACGGGAAGTCCTGCTAATAAGGCGCTGTGGTTTGAGTATGTCCCTCAAAGATTCATGTGTCGGAAACTGCATCCCCAAATTCATATGCTAATGATATTTGGAGGTGGGGCCCTTGGGAGGGAATTAGGATTAGATGAAGTTATGAGGATGGGGCCCCCCAAAATCGTATTTGTGGCTTTATAAGGAGAGAGAGAAGAGAGCGAAGCTGCCAGGCTTGCTCTGTCTCACCGTGCAGTGCCCTCTGCCATGTTATAGTGCAGCAGGCAGGCCCTCCCCAGATGCCAACCAGATGCTGGTACCATGCTCTTGGACCCTGCAGTCTCCCAACCCTGTTCTGGCTAATGAGTCCTAAGCAAAGACTCACTAAGAGGGCTCTGGGAAAGTGTTGCCCTTTCTAATAAAAAGGAAGCAGTAGGTTTAGCATGGCCCTTCACTGCCTTCAGCTGGGGTCTGATGGCTGGGGAAAATGTAGCAGCTACTTTGCAACCACGGATGAATGGCCAAGGATTTCAGGGACATTGGCTTGGATATCATGGAGCTGCTGGGTCGGTGCCTGTATGGACCTCTGGACTTCATGTGAGAAAGATAATCCTGAGGTTCAGTTGTCTGTTACTTGCGGCTAAGTACATTCCTACTTGGAATACTATATAATAAAAAATAACTGTACTTATCGAACACTTAGTATAGTCACAATTCTAAATACTCTACCTGTACTTGTGTCAACTAACCCTCAAAACATATCTACATTTCATTTCATTTTGCAGGTGAGAAATAGATATGTTAACTAACTCAAAGGTGACATAGGCAGTAAGAGTTAGATACACACACACACACACACACACAAATATATGTATATATGACCCCAAATCAAGGAACTTCTGAGGTTTATGAGGTGGTCTGGTAGGCAGAATAATGGCTACCTAAAGATACTCATGACCTAATTTCCAGAACCTGTGCCGTGCTTGGCAAAGGGGAATTAATGATTCAGATGAATTAAGGTCACTAATGAGCTGTTTAAAGTGGGCAGATTAGCCTGTATCCACCAGGTGAGCCCAAAGCAATCACAAGTGTCCTTCAAAGTGGAGGAGGGAGGCAGAAGTTGAAGTGTAAGGGAGGCAGTGTGGAAGGGCTCAACTTGCTGTGGCCAAAGAAGAAGAGGCCCTGAGCTAACAAATGCAGACAGTTTCTAGAAGTTTGGAAGTGTTAGAAATGGAAATTTCCCTAGAATTTCCATAAAGAAATTGAGTTCAGCCCAAAGAGACCCATGCCAGACTTGTAACCCACAGAACTGTAAGATAATAAATTTGTATTGCTGATGCCACCGAATATGTGGTTATTTCTTAAAGCTGCAATAATGAACTCACTCAGGTCACCCTGGGCATGGTGAGCGGAGGCCAGTGGGATGAACGAGGAGGCACTGCAAAGACAAAGGCAACAGAGGGTCAGGCTCTGTCCTAAGGCAATGGACATGGTTGGTTTGCTTGTTTTCCAAAGCTTCTGGAGAACAAATGTTGTAAAGTGGAAGAGAAGGGGTAGACCTGAGCACATTTTTTCCTATGATATTTTTTATTTATTTGAAAGGCAGAATGATGGAGGGGGGGGGTTGCCCAAAGGGCTGCCACCCTTGGGCTGGGCCAGGTGGAAACCAAGAGCCTGGACATCTATACAGGTCTCCCCCCTGGGTGGCAGGGGCCCAAGCACTTGGGCCACCTTCTGCTGCTGTACCAGGGTCACTATTAGGGAACTGGGTGGGAAGCAGAACAGCTAGCACTGAAGCCAGTGCCCCAGTAACAGGATGCCAGCTTCCCAAGTGGTGGCTTCATCCTTTGTGCCATATGGCTCCTGACCTGAGCATGTTTGATAAGCTCAGGAGAAAGAGGAGATGACACTTGTTAGAGGTAGGTGTTTGAGTGAGTAGAAGGAGTAGGTGGGGTGGGAGGGCTGTTGGCAGGAGAGAGTCACGGCATTTCTGGTGGGATCTGGGGGCAATGCTGCTGGAGTGGAGGCAGTGCCGGTGGCATGCACAGTGCTATTTGCGCCTAGGTGGAAGGAAATGCGGGCACCCTGGCTTAATGGCTGTCTTGTTTCTGTGTGGAGGAAGAGGGGCGTTCAGCAAGTGAAAGTGGTGAGGTGGAAGTCCCAGCAGCCCCTGAGCACAACAGAGGGGCTGGGCCCGGGGGAGATAAGCCTTGCCCTCTGGACACCAGGGCTGGAGGCTGTGTATAAGTGTTACCCCCTCTCTCCTCCATGTGCTCAGCGGCCTAGAAGTGGGAGCAGACGTGAGCATTGGGAAGCGTGGGGATTTAGAAAGAGAGCAGCAAATGAGATTGTAACTCCCCTTCAGTGGGACGCTGGGAGATTTTTTATATGGGACAGGGGGAAAGAACATCTCATTTGTGTCTGAGTCTGATTTCATGAATTCCCAAGGAGCACATCCATCCTATAATCCTCTCTAAAACCTGCCTCATTCAGTTCAATAACACCTCCCCTTAGGATCTTAACTAGATCTTTCTTCAAATCCAGGTCGTTGTCTTCTACCGGGCAAGTATCTCAGGAAGGGTGGCACAGCAAAGCAAGCCTGCCTGCCCTAGCAGTTCCCTTCCTGGGGGAAAAATCTGACAGGGAAGGCATGAGGACAAGGACCACAGTGGCAAGGCGAGGGGCTTGACTCTGGCTGGGCAATCAGAGAGGGAAGTGTGGGAGCTTTGAATGGCAATGGCTTGCCAGTTGCCTATACCCACCTGCCAGGTTCCCAAAGGGAGTGCCTGGGCCTGGGTGAGGTCAGAGGGTGCTAAGACCTTAGTTCTTGTAGGGCATTTGTCTATTCTGGGCTTTATGCTTATACTCTGAAGCACGCTTGCATGTGGTCCCATGGAAGGCAAAGGCAAAGAACCACAGGAGACAGCCAGGGAAGACACAGTGCCTTTGGGTATGGACAAGGACGTCCCTGGCAACAGAGCATCTCTGTTGATAGAATTAGCACCGTCTTATGAAAGGCCTAGGAGGGAAAGGAGAAGAAATAGCACACGATCCACAAGTTCCTTGAGGGCTGGTAAACCTCTTTGGGAGGGCTACCCTAAAAAGAATGCACAGCTTGCTAGGGTTAGAGCTCTGTTTAATATCAAAGGAAACCTTTCTCATCTTAAAAAAAAATGTATAAAGAGAGCCTGCAATCCCCAGTGCCTCAGATTTATGTTTTCCAAATGTGGACATCTATTTCTCCATGTGCTCGATATCTTTTTAATGGACTACAAATATTTGAAATGTGTAAACACCGTGGGACGATGAGCATTCTCAGCGTGGTGGGATGGAGCTGGATTAGGAGAAGTAGGGTGTTATTATAGGGGTGAGGCCCGAGACAAAACCTCCCAGCGGACCAAGTTGCTGGACCGCAGCCTGCTCTCAGAGCAGACAAAGTGGAAAGTGGAAACACTTTTGCATTTGGACTATCAAGTCACCAGGACGATAGCAGGCAGCGTCTTTCTCAGAATTGCACCGTTTTTGGACTCCATCCTTTATCTGGGGAGAGACGGACTGTGCTGTCCTTTGGTATTGAACTACCTTGCAGGGGAAGTGGGGTCAAGAGTGTCTTGGACATGCTCCCGCAGTGAGCCTGACGCACTCCTCCCTGCTTCTATTCCGAGGCTCCCCTGAGGGAAATTAACAGGTCCGAAGTCAAACACTGATATGATCGGAAAGGATTGTTCATTCTAAATACAGGGATGTGTTTCTAGTCACAGCCGCCACTGGAGGCTTCTCTGGGCTTCCGCTTGATGGACACCTTTGGTCAAACACAACCTTCATCTGCCCTTTAACCTGGTGCACCATGGAAGAAGATATAGTGCGTGGCGTTTTGGTGAGATGCAATGAGATATTAGTATAGGTAAATCGCCTGCACATAGATAGCCCTCGATAAAGGTCAACTCCCTTCCTTATAGTGTTACTTCACAAAAAATGGTTCCTGCATATTGATCTTTTTGTGCATGTGTACATATTAGAGAGTTTAGAACTGGGATGTGAGCCCGTAGGTCTCAGCTGTGGATGCTTTGTTTATAGTCATCAAGTCCTGTTGGTGAGGCTGGGTGGCACAGCGGCGGACACGCAGCTCCTGGAGCTGGACTGCCTGGATTTGAATCCAGGCTTCTCCCCTTTTTAACTGCATCATCCTTCTAAGATTCTTCTCTGTACCTTGGTTTACTGATGACAAAGGGGGAAGGATGGTACTAATCGTATCTGCCTCCGAGGGTGGTTCTGAGGATTATGTGAATTAATCCGTATAAAGCTTGTGGGTCAGTGCTTGGCATCACGCAATGTATCACAGTAACCGTTGCTACTCTTTCTTAGTACATGTTGGCTGTTTTGAACAGAGTTCCACAAGTGTGAGCTATTGCTATTAGTATCACATATTCTATAAAATATGAATAAAGATCTCCGCTCCATCAACCTAAATTCCAACTTCTTGAGAATAAGTCCAGACTACCAACTGCAGATTCTTCAGACCCAACCCGGGAATTATGAACAGTGGGTCAGGAAGCAGCAGAAGACTGCCAAACGTGGCGGTTCTGGCTTGACTAAGGCTCATGTGCGTCTCTTAAACACCATGAGGCACATTTGCAAACTGTTGGGCCACAGACCCAACTGTGCCCACAGACACATTCTATTTGGCCAGCCCAGAAATTGAAAATAATAAATTGTCCGTGTTTAAAATCTGGGCTGTTTTACACAAAACTCTGGACTTCCTGTGCCCCAACCGATTGCAGGATCTACAGTTGCTGGTGTGCTGTCCTATTTGGCACAATCCGTGTTAACTGTGTAGAACTGCTCTTCCAGTATGCTCATTCTCTTTTCATTTTTCCACAGTCCTTACCACTCTGTATTAATCACATCTGGCCCACTTCACTCGTTAATGTTATTGCTTCATCTCCATAGACCTGGGAATTTGCAACTCCTACTGTAAGCTGATGTAAGAGAAGTGTTTAGGGGATGTAGGGCAGGTGGGACACATATGTGGAAAGAGACGCTCTTCATGGGGTCTTGGTTCATGGCATGTCCCTCAGCCTACAGGAATCTTCTGTCACATAGGCTATCATCAGGATCTCTAAGCTCAGCCAATTTCTATTTTTCAGGTATGTCCCTTTGATGTCTGACCCTGGCAGTTGCTACCTGAAAATATTCACTGCGGATTGGAAACCATCAAGAAGCGACAACCAAACAGTGGCCCACAGTAGCATATCATTTCCAAAGTTGCACAAAGTATTCCCAATGCTTAGGGCTTTGTATAATACTTCTAGCAACAACAACTTTCTTGAATACCAGAGAACAGAGCAATGGCATTTAAAATCTAACTGTGGGGCCTCTTTCATAGCTAGGCATTTAGAGTTTGGTACAAAGATCCTCTTTCTGGGATTAGGAGCAGGAGGGCTGAAGGAGCAATGTGACCGATCTTTGATATAGCCAGGAGGATGGGAAATTTCCGATGTAGTTGCCGAGTCCCACGAAACCATCCTATGGGTCCTGGCAGCTCCTCCTGGAGCAAGTCATAGAAGAAAAGAGCACTTCTCTTCTTCAAGCTACAGTGCTCTGACGGGTGCCCCGTCACTGGTGTTCCGCACAGGCCCAACGGCTGTGCCAGGTGTGCCCAGCGGGGAGAAATCAGTGGTGGTCAATCAGCATCTGAAGGAAAGCCTTTCTCTTTCACTGGCCCACGTGGCGGAGGATTCGGGAACTCGGTGTTTCCTGGAGGCTGTCTGGACCAAGTGGAAGATGACTGTCAGAGGGTGCAGCTCAGCAGTGTGCCAGTCCGTGTGAGTGGCAAGGTGTGCTTCCTTATCAGCAGGGCTCTATGCTAATGTAACTGTCACATGAAATACTTGCTGCGGTGGCTCACTTAATGACTGTCATAAAAGTGTGGCAATATCTGGCATTTTAAGTGTGTGTGGTGTCTAATGTAAGGCTTGCTATTGTAAATAGGCCACACATTTAGAACTAATTACATGCAAGCTATGATAGCAGGTTTATTTTTTACAGCTATCTGAGCTGTGATCAGCACTTGTAATCACAAAGCAAAGGAGAAATAAACAGTGACAGCAACACCTTCATGTTGAAAGCAAAGTCTTGTCCTGGCGTGTTATGAAGTACTAAGTATTTTTCAATAGAAAGTGAAAATGATTAGTCAGAAGCAGATATAATTACGAAAGAGCCTGGATCGGGCTTTTATACTGTGTTTACATCCACACGCATTGTTTTTTCTTTAAAGCTTTATCTCAGTCAGTAAGTACCCCAGATGCTATAATTTTGAAGTAATACACATATTTTTCACTTCCTTTGAGGATCAAGGCAGAGGAAGTTGCTGTCTTTTTGAGCCTTGGTGATGCGTTGTTCTTTGCCTGTGATTTTTTTGGTTGAAGCAGAGTTAGAAATTGGTTATTACATTAAAGGAGACTTTAGTCTTACTAGCTCAGTAAGGTCTCTTACGTGTCCTGCAATCCTGAGACTTTTCCAAAGCCATTCCCCATGCTAGAAATAAGAAATCAGAGATTTCTGGAAATGGTTATAGACCCAGGTAGTCAGTGGTCTCCCTTAAGGCCAGGGATGGGGTTGGAGGCAAGAGGGAAAAACAAATCCCCGCCACACGCACACAAAATGTTACAGGTATATGCTTGTATCCCCCTGGGCAGGGGTTCTGGAACTTTCTTCAGAACCTGAGAAGGAATATGAAGCATTAGAAGTTTGGAGCTGATTTAGGCATGGGAAGCCATGAACAAGTGGAGACCATCCGGTGTCTGCCGTCTCGAGGATGTCAAACCAACGCAGCTTGGAGCAGCGGAGCAGGAATCTGAGACAACTGCTCTCATCTTTAGGAGGCTCCTGACTTTAGGGGTCCTTCTGAGGACCTGGGAGGAGCTGCAGTTCCCGTTGTCTCAAGCCCGGTGCTCGTATCCAGCAGCGCGTCCCCCTCTCTTTGGTCCAGGGTCCAGCCTGGGAGACCGGAGCCTCCGTGGCTGTGTGGAGGATCACTCTCCAGCCCAGTGGCAGTCACAGAGCTGCTGTGTGGGGTCACGCCTTGGGCTCAGGCAGTTGGGGACCACATCCAAAGGTTAAGGTGTGCAAGGCAGGTGCAGGAGACAAGCCTGGGGCTCTGAGACAGGCTGGTGGGAAAGGCCCCTGCAACTGGCGGAGGGTGGACCAGGGCTTGATCCCTTGGCCTGCTTGTGTATCCTCGAATCCACGTTCTTTCCTTCTCGCAGGTCTTCTCCCCTTTCCGCTTGCTCCTGCTGTGGAGGCTGCCCAGCTAAATACAGGTGCTCAACACCCAGGACCTCCCTAATGCACTTGTCTGCCCGCCTTTATCTGTTTCTTTCTTATACAGGTCTGTTCTCTGTCTGTCTCTCCTTTCCCTCTAGTCCCTATTTTTACTCTAATATCAATATCGGAAGCTGGATCTCTCCTTATTTATTTTTAATCTTTGAAATCTTCCTATCTTTTTCTTACCAAATGCAGTGCGTTCTCTTGTTCTTCTGGCAAATTCCCTCTCTCTCGCTCTCGCTCTCACTCTTGCTCTTGCTCTGTGTACCCCTCCATTCTGTCCCTGCTTCCTTCCTTCTTCCCTTCCTTCCTCTTTCTTATGCTTTCATTCCTGAGAGGGAGCAGGTAGAATGGGTAACCTTAGGATCTTTGCTCTTTAAAAATGATCTAACAATTCTGAGCACAAAGGGTCCTTCTTTAGCATAATTTCTGAAATATCCTTGGGTGGGGCAGGGGTGATGAGAAGGGAATGGCCAACGGAAACCCCACCTGGGAGAGAGAGGACTCTCCCTCACCCCAAAACCTTCTTGCAAAACAGAGTGCAGACACCCTGTGCACCCAGCTGGGTCTTCAGCCAAAGGTCCAGCTCAGGGAGGCTCTGGGTGTCGCATGAGTTCTCTGAGACCCTCCATGTGACCCAGCAGTGGATCTCATTGCTTGAGTGACTTCATGCATGCTGCACGGTGTATTTCTCTGACACTGTTTTTGAGGTTGAACTTTTTTTTAAATCTGCACTGCTACTGAAAGATCAGCGGTGTCTTTCTAGCTCAATGGAGTCCCTAATTAGACTTTCAGTTAAATTCAGGTCCATCTCCCCTGCTGACCTCCCTGTCTTAGCCTTCATTCCTCAAAGGGATCTCACGGTTTCCTGTGTGCTGTGCTGCTGGTCTTCTCTCTGTCCGGCTTGTCTGCTGAACGCCTCTCCCTCTCAGGGCCATCTCCTCTTCAATCCTCCACCAAGACAAAGGACTTTCTTCCCTCAGGTTCTGGGCTTTCACAGCCTCTGACCTGTGTTTCCGGTCTGCCTTGACTTTGACCTTCAGCCAGTGCATTCCTCAGGAGAGCAATCTGTGGGCAGGGACAAGGTCTTCTTGATCTTCCCTGTGTTATATCTTAGGACTATACTTTAGTAAGTGGTTGCTGAACTGGCTTACAGAGTGATCAAAAAGAGACATCAATAATTTTCTGATTATTTTTCATGCTTAAAAAATACTTCTTTGATAACTGTAGTCATGGTCACAATAATGATTTGTCTGTTTCACAAGGAGCATTATGGGTTTGGGCTTCCCACTAACCCTGTAAAGGGTGCATTAGCTCTACTTCCTAAAGGAGGCTGCGTTCTCATGATGGACCCAGCTCTTTGACCTCCAAAAGACCTGCTGTTTCCACTTGGGTCGGAGATTTCGCACGGGAAGGGAAGTCCAGTCCAGGAAGCATGTTCTCATGGTCTCTTCTTCCCTGCACCACGCATACCCCCATGACTCTCAGGAAGTCACCATAAATGGGTTAGTCAGGGGCTGGCGTTGTGCAGTGTGTTAAGCTGCCACTGGGGACACCTGTATCACATATCAGAGTGCCTGGGATAGATTCCTAGATGCTCTGCTTCCCATCCAGCTCTCTGTTAATGCACCTGGGAGGCCGCAGTGATGGCTCAGGCACTTGGGTGCCCGATCTGCATGGGGTTCTGGGTTCCTGGCTCATGTTGGCCCAGTCTGGCTGTTGCAGGCATATGGGGAGTAGACAGAAGGTTTTGTGTCTCTCCCTTTCTCTTCTTCATTTTGCATTTCAAATAAATGAGTCTTCAAAAGATGGGGTGGGTATTTAAGGGGACTTAAAATAGTTGTGAAAAAAGGGGAATTCAAAGTTTATTTTGGTGCAAACATTTTTGAAATCCATAATCCACGTGTGTGTGTGTGTGTGTGTGTGTGTAATACACATTTCCAAGAACTTTTTGAAGACCCCTTGTATTACTTCATTCCTTTAGTGGAGAAGTGTCGTCATTGGTACCTTTGTCCTAGACCCTGGGCCCTGTGGCTGGTGCTAGCTCGGGCTGAGACAGTGTCCTGGCCATTTGCTAGGAGAGATCACAGCCCCTGTTTGGACACAGCTGCCACCCTCAGCCTGCTTTGAGGCAGAAATCTGCTTTGATCTGTGTGCGGGCCTGGGAGGTTACGGCCCTAATTAATTCAAGCATAACAATCTGAATTTCGTTTTCATTCAGAGAAAAGCATAATCATTTCAAAGCTCTCGTAATGCCGGAATTCTTAAAAATCCAATTGAATTTTATTTTCATAAATCTGCTCAGGGTGATCTCTGGACAGCATGGAAACAAAAAGATAATGAAAAATGTTTCCTTTAAATCGCTGAAAATTATTTCTGTTAGAAGAGGGGTTCTTGTCATAAGGCATGACTTTGGAAGAAAAGAGCGACAATTTATAATAAGCAGAGGAGTGTCAACAAACTCGTCCTGAGAATCCAGGGTTTGTCATGTGCGTTCACCGGCTTGCTAATCCACCCCGTTCTATGGAAATGTCACATGAATTGAAGAAAAATAAAAGTGTGAGGGAGCCCATGGATATGAAAGCACTTTGTAAACAGCACCGTGCTTTGTAAATGTGACATATTATTACAGCCTGACTTCTGCAGTTCCCTTCCCCATGGTTAGAAATTATTAGAGGTCCCCTGGCTCCTGTCAGACTCCTTTTTAATGATCTTTAAGCCTCATTCCTAAAGGCAGGGCAGTGATACTGGCAGGAAAAGTGCTTAATAATTTGTTTATGGTAAAATGCTATCCTAATTAGTAGATCTCATTAATTTCAATAAGGCATCACTCCAGCCCTGCCCTCCCCCCCACCCCAGTCAGTCAGCCGGCAAGTCCCGTCGCCTTTCCCTATGAGACCCACCTCGTCCTATTTGCTTTGTCCTCATTGCCTCCACCTGAGTTTGTGACCACTTGCGTCACACCTGGGCAGCCTCCACTCGTGCCCACGGGCAGTTCCCGCTCCATGGCAGCCAGAGGAGTCTTTCGGAAATGTGTTGCGTCAGCCCAGCTCCACACCTTGGGTCCCATGGGCCCCAGCCCGGCTTGCTCTCCACCTCTTCTTATGCCATCTCTGTCTCCCACACTGACCTCATTTTCCAATCCTTTAAGGATTCGGAACTCCTTTCTGCCTTAGGGTTGGCCTTTGCTGTTCCTTCTACCTGGAATGCTGTTCCCAGGAGCGCTCCGTGAACCTGCTGCTCATCTGCCCCCCTTCACCGCCAGCGTTTCTTCCTGGGAAGGCCTGCCCTAGCCATCTCGCGAGAGCGGCCTGTCCACTCCGCCAGGCTCCTTAACCTTTGTTCCAGCTCTGACTTCTCAAGTCGGTCTCACTTGTGTAGCTGTGTATCTATTGTTCATTTTTTCCTAATCAAATATAGAGTCTTTGCAGGCAGAAACTCTCCGTAATTGCTTGTGATGCTTGAAATCCTCTATTTTCATTCAAATTTTACTAAAGGGAAAACTACAGAACATAGATTATGTATTTTTGTAAAAAAATTAATGGTTTCTTGGGAAAAACCTAATACCCAAACTGACAGGTTGAAGATTATTCTTTTCCCAAGTTCTATTTGTTTTTTTGCAGGGTGCATCCCTCATGGTAAAGTGTTCATTCTACAGATTACTTCTTGTGCACCTTCTGTGTGCCAAGGCATTGGCTCTAGAGAGCCCATGGTGACAGACAGATAATATCCATTCTCTGGGAAAAGCTGGTTAACAATTTCCCCTATGTAGCAATTTAGGATGAACACATCTGCCACCTCCACGGAGCCTCAGGGAAGTCAGGAAGTAATGGTGTGTCAGCCTGCAGGTATTTCAAGAAAAGCCCCTGGTTGTCATGAAAGCCCAGGGTGAGAACATCCTTGGAGAAGGCAGCGCAGCCTGGGTCAAATGTTCTGAAAACGGGCTTCATAGGGCAGTCTTGCTCCCGATGCTAGTCTGCCAAGCAGTCGGACAGAAAGTTTGGGCAAATTCCGAGTCTTTAAGACTCAACAGGCTCCCTCTCTAAAACCAGATTTAGGCCTTTGCATTTTGGCATTTAGTCATAGCTGAAAGAATGCTTAGTTGAAAGAGCGATGATTTTACAGAGTTTGGGATTAGCTAGCAAACAGCTGGAACAAAACTGATTTTGTCGAGTTTTTGAATGGCTTAGAAACAATTGGGCCTAATTTTCTTCAAAATTAACATCAGTAAAAATGATTAAGTAAAACAAAACCCTCCTGGGCAAAAAAAAATAAAATGAAATAAAATAAAACATGAAACTGGAATTTGCTCAGCCTTCTAGTTCTTCTACCCTTGGTTGACAAAGACATAAACTTGGGAGCACTGGCAGGGTTTTTAGCTTGTAAGATTATTACAAAATTAGAATTCCAAGTTTTGGAATTGTTTGAAGAAGAGACTCTCTTGACATTTCCAATTTCTGCTAAGTATTAAAATATAACTCTCATAAAAAGATTGTACGTCATAGAATTTCCAAGCTGGAAGGAATCCTTGAGACTGTTTAGTTCTTTCCTCAAAGGTGGAAACAGACCCAGAGGGGCCAGTGGAGGCACTCACGTTTTGTGCTCCAGAGGCAGTCACGTGAGTGACATATGAACTGCCTGGTGCCCTCCCCTTTCGTGAAAGGGATGTTTCCTTTCAGGACCCCTTAGTTTCAGATTCCATGTCATGCTCCCGACAGCCACTGCACACAAAACCCATGAAAACAGAAATCAGAGAACCGGGGCCTGGGTTGCGGTGGTGCTGCCGGAAGCATCTGTGATGGGTGGAGTGTTAGGCACTGTTTTCTTTGAGTGTCAAAGTCCCTCCACACAAATAGCAAGACGGATTCCTCAGCCTTTAATACAAAGAGATACTTCTTTCTTTTCCCTCTCTCTCTCTCTCTCTCTTTTAACCATGGAAGGGTGCAGCTACAACTTTCTGTGACTGATTGGCTCTCTCCCACCTCCTTATACAACAACTGTGTCCACACAGAGAGGGGTATGGATATAAATGAAAATTTAAAAGGTACCAAGTGAGGAGGAATTTTGCCAGGGACGAATCGGGAAGTGTTGTCTGAGTGGTGATTGTCTGGCCTGGCCCTTTGAAAATACTTAGAGGTTACCTTGTTGCAAGCCAAGTTTTCTTTTTTTAAAAAAAAAAAAAAAAACTGCTTTAACTATTTGAGGTAAATGATCATCTTTGCCTCAACAGCCCCCAACACACACTGCTTGTGATGATGTCTCTTCAGGCTGCACGTTGTTCAGTTTCTACAAGCCGAGGAGAAATTTAGCTTGTTGGTAGTTGGAAGACAGATCTGCAGGGAGTAGAATTAGTAATCTGTAGCCATACCCCCTTCCAGGCTGTTTTCAGCTACTTCTGGACCCAGGCCTGGGAAAAAATTATTTGAATTCTCCTTGGAGACACTGTTAAAATTTTATTTTATTAATTAGTGTCCACTTAAATTTAAGTCAATAAATACCCGGGGAAATTAGTCTTGCTCTGAAATCACACCAATACATAATGATGATAATAAAACAATATAGCATTTAATAAATATGATGTTTACTGCCAAAAAGGGCTTACTACGTCTATTGTCTTATGTATTGCTTTATGTATTCCTTCCAGAATACTTCATCTGTTGAATTTTTCGATGAGAACATGGAGATCTACTATTTTTCTTAATATTCTGATAATGATAAAAACATGAATATTCCAAAGAACTTATTAGGTACTCATCACTGATAATACTAAATGCTGAGCTTATTTGATTTAAATTAGGAACAAAAGAAGTTTTTATTTTTGATGAACATGATCTGTCTGACATTTTTCACTTTGTGTTCAAAGGGGAGTGGGCAAAGCCATTTGGGCGTCAGAGTTCAGCTGGATGATACATATTCCACGTGTGGACTGGGTCAAGATCAGAGAGCCTCTTCCCTTCCTGTGGCTTAGAAACCAAGTTGTTAATATAGTTATTCTCTCTGGCATTTAGATCATGAATTTTGCACAGACCCACATCAAGGAGAAGAGAGGCCCTTTGTATGTTAGATTTGCAGAATGACTTCAGATGTTTCGACTGGATAGCTGCAGAACAGAATGGGAAGACTACAAGACATGATCTCCCTTGCTGCCTTCCAGAACGCTGGACTCTGCTATTATCGGTTATCTGTTGCAATATCATGCTGTGATCCTTATCCAGTGAGGTCTGGTTTTATTATTCTTCTTAAGATTTTGTGAGTGGTTGGTTGACTTGTTTTATATTTTGGGAAAACCAGTAATGTCTCCTAATAGAGTATCTTCCTCCTCAAGTTGAAAGAAGGATTTGTTGGGAATGATCTTTTTTGAAAAATGGATTTTTTTTCATATATCGTTCTGCACAGAAAGGCTTGCTTGTAACTGCATGTAAGAGTTTTCAGTTAGTCCCCTGCAAGCCCATCTTCACTGTCTATGGAGAACATAAGAGATGTCTTAAGACATTTACTCTAAGGGGTCGCTGTGGCACCAGCACATCCTTTGAGTAAGGATGCTTATCAGAGAACTACCCCTGAGAACCTGGAAAGCTGAGCTTTTGTCAGTTGTCTCCATTGAGGTCTTGTGGACACAGTATCTGCTTGACCCTGGGAGAAGAAGATGGGGTGTGATAAAGGGTGGTTTTTGTTCTATTCACTGATTTTCCTCATCTCTTCTTTTAAAAAAAAAAGTTTTTAAAGTTATTTATTTGGAAGACAGACAGGCAGACACACACACAGGGAGGGAGAGAGAGAGAGAGAGAGAGAGAGAGAGAGAGAGATTTTTCCATTTGTTATTTCACTGCCCAAATGCCCGCAACAACCAGGGCTGGGCCAGGTTGAAGTCAGGAGCCTAGAACTGAATCTAGGTCTCCTACATCGGTGGCAGGGATCCACGTACTTGAGCCATCACCTGCTGCTTCCCAGCGTGTATAGTAAGTAGCAGGAGCCTGAAATCAGGACTTGAACCCAGGCACTCTGGTGTAGGATGCAGGCATCCAAAGTGGTGTCTTCTCTGGCCTCAGAGTCAGCCCTTAAAGCATTCGGATCTGGCTAAAAAGCCCAGGAGAGTATTTCAAGCATGGGAAGCCAAGACACTGTGGCAAAAATGACCTAAAAATGAAAGATCTCTGTGAGTGAGATCCCAATGGAAAGAACGGACCATCAAAGAAGGAGGTACCTTTCTCTGAAGGGAGGAGAGAACTTCCACTTTGACTATGGCCTTGTCTAAGTAAGATCAGAGTTGGCGAACTCAAGAGACTTCCACAGCCTTGGCAGCTCATGACAAAAACCTCAGGTGATTACTGACATCATAAATAAGAGTGTCAATTGTTAAATCAACAACAGCAGTCACTGTGCACTTGCTCCCCATGTGGGACCTCTGTCCTTAATGAGTTGTGCTATGAGAATTAACGGTAAAACTAATCTTCAAACAGTACTTTATGTATGTCTGTGTGAGTGTAAACTGTTGGAATCTTTACTTAGTATAGAGATGATCTTCTGTGTATAAAGATAATTATAAAAATGCATCTTAATGAAGAATGAGATGGTAGAGGGAATAGGATGTGGGATGGTTTAGAGGTGGGAGGGGAGGTATGGGGGGAAGAATCTCTATAATCCAAAAGTTGTACTTATGAAATTTATATTTATTAAATAAAAGCTTTCTATAAAAAGTCAAAGAGGTGAAGTAGTGTCTTAAGAGCAAACAAATCCTGTTCCTGATCCATCCAGGCGGCGAGCCACTTACCTCTAATTTTTTCAGAGTCTCTCTGTTTCTCTCTCTCTGAGACTGAATTATTTATTTTGAAAGTTAGAGTTACAGGAGACAGAGAAAGAGAGAGCTAGAGTGAGAGCAAAAGAGAGAGAGAGGGGGAGGGAGAGAGAGAGAGAGAGAAAGACATCGATCTTCCATCCGTTGGTTCACTCTCTAGATGGCCACAATGGTCAGGGCTGGGCCAGGATAAAGCCAGGGTCTAGGAGCTTCATCTGGGACTTCCATGTGAGTGCAGGGGCCCACGTTTGGGCCACCTTCTGCTGCTTTTTTGAGGCCATTAACAGGGAAATTGATCAGAAGTGGAGTAGCCAGTACTCAAAACAGGCACTCATGTGGGATGTCAGCATCACAGGTGGTGGCCTTAACTGCTACATGAAAGAGCTGACGCCAGAGTCTTTTTTCTGGTATGAAATTGAGCTGTGTCTAGAGATACTTCCAGAAGTCCGTATCAGATGTTTTAGGTTAAGTGGCTGGGGAGGTGATGTGTGGGTAGAATGTATTTGTGTCAGCCAGTATCATCTTGATTCTCTGGAATGTTGACTTTTACCTGAAATTCCAATATTATACTTGCCTACAATGTGCAGTGGTGAGAGCCATCTTGAGACCAGTATCATCCAAAGCACACACACTTGTGCATGGCTAAAGTTGTCAGCAACAGCTAATGGTTAGGCTGATAGAAATGATCCCCAAACAGGTCTCCAAGTCTGTGGTTGCAACAGTTGCAACAGAATCCACCACCAACATCAACCCAACAACAACCCAGTTGCACAGCACCACCTGTGGGAAATCTGTGGATGGGTGTTGCACTGTCCCCCAGCCCAGGGCAGGTTTCTGGAAACCTGATAGTTTATTTTCCACAACTTCTGAGTTAGATGAGTAGAACATGCTGAATACTGGGATGTGTGTGTCTTTTCTTTCTGTGAACTTACTGATAACACTGTTTAGGCATAGTCCTTAGACTCAGTTTCTGGGCTGAACATGTTTCAATTACTCTTCTTTTCAAATTTATTTTCTTATTACTTATCTGTGAAGTATGGAAACAGAGAAAGAGAGATGGTGACAGAGAAGGAAAAGAGAGAATGTTCTCCCATTTAATAATTCATCCCCCCCAATACCCACAACAGCCAAGACTGGACCAGGAAGAAGCTGGGAGATAGGACTCAATCGGGGCATCTCACATGAGTGACAGTGACGAAATATTTGAGCCATCACTATCTGCCTCCCAGGGTCTTCATTAGCAGGAGCGTGGAGTCATGAGCCAGAGCTGGCATTTGAACCCAAGCACTATATGTGGGACACAAGTATCTTACCTGCTGTCATAACTACAAGGCCAAATTCCCAACTCCTCAAGGACTCTTCTTAATTGGGCAGGAGAAGAAAGCCCACATTACCAATGCAGATAATACACTTACTGGCTTCTTTCTCTTTAAGTCAAGTTTTTCCTAGAGCCATTGCTACAGCTTTAGTGAGGCATAGCATTTGGTACTTTCCAATACACTGGAGCTCTGAGTGGATCGCTGATGTAGCCTCTGTATCTAGCACAGTGCTTTGCATAGAGTAAGGTGTCTGCAAATTTTGTCCAATGAATGAGTGCACAGAGAATCTTTTCTCCTGCTCCTCTTGGAAGGATGCCTATCCTTGTTTCAGTTCAAATGTCCCTTCTTTGTAGAAATTGGCCCTGACCCCCTAATGGAGAATCACCAACAATTGCTGGTTATTCTCTTTCCTAGAAACCAGATTTCCCTCATTGAAAGTCTTTATTCTATTGGCTTATTTGTCTTTTAAATTTAATGTGTGTCTCATCTGTTTGACAGAAAGTTCTATTAAGACAAGAGGCCCATGTCTCTTCTGTTCCTCATTCATGCACAGTGCCTGCAGAGAATGTTGCTTAATAAATAGCAGATATTTGTAAATCCACAGTAGATGACTGCATGGGTGAGTGACTGGTGCATACCCACCCGTATATCTGCAGGGACAGTTATATGCTAGCCCTCTGTCACCATGGAGCAAGAATTCCACAGAATGGCCATTAGCAAATAGTAGGGACCGAGCAGCTAAAAAGGTGGTTTGGTTTTGTCATATAGTGAAGTTAGTTTCCAGGGTTATCAGGTTTAGGATAGAGAGCTTCTTTATGGCAACATATTATAATATGTTCTTAGATTGGCCCTTGATGCAATTCTGGCTCTAATAACAAACTATGTGATCTTGGGCAAATTACATAACCTTTCTGAACCTTTTTTCCTAATATGCAAATTTGAGATGCAAATAGTACTTACTTCATATGGCTATTTAGAAGATTAAACAAGGTAATGCATGTAAAGTATGTAGTTTCGTGCCTGGGCACAGAATAAAGAAAAAGTACTCAATAAATTATTATTAAATTAATAATACCATTTGAAGTCCATCAGTGGGCTAGCAGTGTCCCAGGACTCAATTAGGTTGTAATTAAATATATTAAACAATGTCTTATGCTCAACTTCAGTGAAAGGAATTAGTGCTTTGTCTTAATGGCTATAAAATTCTACTTAGCTAAATAATGGAATCAGATAAATTCTCTACAGTCAAAGCTGGATTTAGTAAGATCTGGAAGGTTATACTACAAGGCACATTGTCATTGCAGATTAAAACATCTCTGCACCCCAAATATTACAGTTATTTAATAGGATGCTGGATGGTCTTTTAAAATTTCTTGAACAAAAAGGAAATTTAAACAAATAAAATAAGAATTTAAACTACATCTACATCTATAAGCTTACCAAAGTGCAATATAATCAATATTCCATAAAAATGATTTTTGAGCTTTTGTTGAAAGTATATTATAAATATATTACTATTACTTTTTCCTTATTTGAAAATAAATGCAATCTTTAAATATAATGTTTAAAAATGTTTAGTCATGTTGACATGATACAATTATGTGTATATATATATGTATATATATCTGGCAATTTAGATAATTTGCAGTGACAGGTAAGACCTAAATTACAGGAACCAGAAACCCAATTATTTCAAATTGAATAATCTTGCTAACCAGTGTCACTCATTTCAAGGGAACAAAGGCAATGGTTTTTTAAAATACTTTACTTCTATTAATAGTTCTGTTATAATTTCCCACAAATTGTATCAGAGTTTTTCTATACTACATAGACTGTAAAAGCTGGACATGTATTTCTTCATCAAATTCAAGAAAATGTATATTTTCTGCCTAACCCCTGACTATCTGTTTATATGGGGAACAGTGGAGACTCTTACTCCATAATAGCCTACAATTTTCTCATCACTCTTTAACTTGGGCAAAAAAAAAAAAAAAAAAAAAAAAAAAAAACAAACAGGATTATTAAGAAAAAGATTCTCACATTTCAGATCTTGTGGTAGATGTGGGTGGTATATTGTGGAAATGGTTTTCTCCATGTTACTCATGCCCTTGCCATCTTGATAGGATAAAGACTTCAGCAAGCCACTAGTCTCTTGCATTTGTCCCTGTTATTATTTTTGTTGTTGTTATTGAAGACTTAATTTATTTATTTGAAAGAGTTACAGAGAAGAGACACACACATACACACACACATAAACACAGAGAGAGAGAGATTGAGAAAGAGAGAAAGAGTCAGAGTTCTTCCATTCACTGGTTCGCTCCCCAACTAACTGTAACAGCCAGAAGCTGGGAACTCCACTGGGTCTTCCATGTGGGTGGCAGGGGCCTAAGCACTTGGGCCATCCTCTGCTGCTTTCCTAGGCACACTAACAGGGAACTGAATTGGAAGTGGAGCAACCAGGACTCAAACTCATGCCCACATGGGCTGCTGGTGTTGCAGACAGCAGCTTAACTCACTGTACCACAGCGCCAACACCACTGTTTGTCCTCTGTTTTCTACATAAGGGGTTAGCAGGGTGCATGATTAAGACGAGAGAGTTTGGACACTGGAATTTTAGTGTATAATCTCCGATGTATGCTAGGAAATCATCTCGCCATGCTCTTCCTTTCTAACCTGGAACACTAAATAAGGTCGTTCTCTGGATAGCAGGAGTGATACCAACAGCTGCCTTTATTGTTAACCATATTTGCTGTTACCCACATCCCATCTTTTTGAAAAAACGTGTGAATGCAAGACATGGGTGACAGCAACAGTGAAATACTGTATACTTAGATTAGCAAGACCTCCTTGATTGAACCTGTATATTCATTTCATTTAAAATACTGCCAAGCAAACACCACCCATAGTGATTATACATCACTGTGCTTTCTGAATACTGTAATATTGGGTATGTTCATACTTGCACTGTTCTCTTGCACCATCATTCTGTCTCTCTCTCTCTCTCTCTCTCTCTCTCTCTCCCCCTCCCTCCCTCATCACATTTTCTCATCTTTCCCCATTGGTATATCCATTTAACAAAACAAACAAACAAACAAAACAATACAATACTCTTCAGATACATCTACATTTCTCCCCTCCTCATTCCAGCAAGACTCATCTCTACTTGGTGTTTTCCCTTCCTGACCAACCCTCTTCATCCTGGCTCTCGTTCCCATCATTCCATTAAATTGGCCATTGGTAATTTACCAGTAATTGCTATCCAGCGAAAGCCACTGGTCAATTTCCCATTCTCATCTTACTCCGTCTCTCAGTAGCAGTTGTTGAATGCTCTCTTCTTTTAAAACATTCTACTTCAAACACACTTTTCTGGCCTATGATTCAGGGCCATTTTATTCCATGCCCATTTCTGGTTCCTCCTTCTCTATTATTTGTAGGGGCCCAGGCTCTGATCACAGCAAACTCTCTCAGCTTTACTGTTCTCCAATCCCCTTGTACGAATGCCTCCAGACACTGATGGATCTCAGATGTGTATCTCCAGTCCAGCTCTAGACCTTTCATCCAAATGCCTACTTGTCAGGGCTTTTCAGAGAAACAGAATCAATGGGATATTGAGTAGAGGCCAACCCACACGATGGTGGACAGCTTGCTTAACTCCAAACCCACCAATCTAAATGCCAATCTCAGCTAAATCATCTTCACAGAACCATCCGGAATGTTTGGTGAAATATCTGAACTGTGGCCTAGCCAATCTGACATGTAAAGTTGACTGTCATGTTACTCCACATCTCATCCTGATGTCTAGGAGATACAAAGAGGAGAGAGGCATAAGGACCAAGGAACACTCCCCTTGGTATAGATAGGAGAGAACTTAGGTCACTTCTTTCTGAAATCAAAGAGGAGAGTGAACTCCAGCACATTTCTAAGATCATATTATATACTCAAATGTAGGGCAAAAATCAAGGCCAAAAACACTGTGAGTGGTTGTGAATCCATACGTACACTGAAATCCCCCTCAGCTACTTGGTAATCTGGCACTTTTGCGAGTCTTGTCTTGGAACTGACAATTTGCCCTGCTACTCAAGGACCTCTCTGCTCTTGCCACCCTTCCACCCCAGCCATAGCTGGCAAATATTCATGTACTTCTTAGAATAATTTCCTGATGCTTCAAAACTTTAAATTTTATGTGCCTTAAGTACTCATTGACTCCACTCGCCCAGGAATCCCAGCTTCAGACCATGCAACATAATTTTGCTTCACTCTTATCCGAAAGACAAAAGTAGTGAATACTGTCATCATCCTAAAGAACTCCTCTCAAATGATCCATTTTTATATCAGTCAGGAATTTTAAACACATGTGAGAATCAAATGGTAGACTTATAGAGAAAGATCTAATTCTTTATTCCTTTTTTTATATCCTGTGATTGTTTCTGTCATCACAATTATTTTAAAAGCATCTGGGATTTAGTGCTTTAAAGACACTCATTCTGCCAGATTCTGACAGTATTCCAAATGGTACTTATTCACAGTTTTCCATGCTCTCTCCTCCCCATCCCACGACCACCCAAAAACAACACAGTTTGTAAAGTGGTAGGGAGAGTCCTTTTTAATTCTCCTTATGTTGCAGTCTTGCTCATAGAAGAAACTTCCAGCCCACTTCCCACTCATCCATGACTCACTCTTTCTCAGTGAAACAGGAATGTTTACTGGATCAGTAGCAGCAGGCGGTGTCACTGTGCTCCAAATGAACCTCAAAACTCTCCAGCCCTTGGGGGGAGTGACCTTCTTGTTGGTAGCATACGTGGATAGGCCCATGGCCATACACTTCCAGCCCTGTCTCCAGCTTTGAGCAGCTTCAGGCCCAGACAGCTTGGAGGACATGGATGCTCCAACTTGGCTTCAGGCTTAAGCTGCGTACTTGGATGTGAGATTACCTGGAGCCCTGCTTCCAAGGGGTCATTGCTGCTTCCCCAGATTATTAAAGCAGTGCTTCTTGTTTTGGGGCCATCAGTGCTTGGCAATATACATTACTGATAAGAACCCTTGGGGAAGAAAAGAGGTAAACAGGCTCACTTCCTGCATAAGAAATGAAACTTTCTAGAAATCAAAAGGAGCGTTTTACTTGGTTTTCAAGGGGTTTTTTAATGTTGGTTTTCTATTGCTTCCATAACAAATTACAACAATTTCAGTGGCTCCAAACAACACCCATTTATTATCTCGTTTTTCTGGAGTCAGAAGTCCAGATAAACCATGGTTCAGCCAGCTCCCTGCTTGGCATGTTCCAAGGCTGAAATCAAGGTGTCAGCAGGGCTGTGTTACATTGCGGAGGCTCTGGGAGTGAGTCCACTTCCGGTGTCACTCAAGTTGTCAGGAGAACTCGGGTCCAGGACCTTGTGGGACTGAGGTCCCTCCGTGTTCCCTTGCCAGCTGTCTTTCAGGATTGATTTCAGCTTTGAGAAGCTGCCTACTTTCTTTGTCTTGTGGCCACCTTATCTGCCTTCAAAGCCAACAATGACAGGTTGAGTCCTTCTCATACTGGAATGTTTCTGACTTATCTTCTGGCTCGTACTTCCTCTGTGGTATCTCTCTGCTTTCCTCTTCTTCTTTTAGAGGCTTGGGTGATTAAATTGGACCCACTTGCCTGATGGAAGGTACTCTCCCTATTTTAAGTTTGGTTAATGAGTGACTTTTTTTTTAAAGATTTATTTACTTGAAAGTCAAAGTTACACACAGAGAGAAAGAGAGGCAGAGAGAGAGAAAGAGAGAGAGAGAGAGAGGTCTTCCATCTGCTGGTTCTCTCCCCAAATGACTGCAATGGTCGGAGCTGTGCCAATCCAAAGCCAAGAGCCAGGAGCTTCTTCCAGGTCTGGAAGGATGGGCCATCCTCCACCACTTTCCCAGGCCATAGCAGATAGCTGGTTCAGAAGTGGAGCAGCTGGGACTCAAACTGGTGCCCATATGGGATGCTGGAACTGCAGGTGGCAGATTTACCAGCTACTCCACAGCACCGCCCCTAATGAGTGACTTTATTTCCATCTGCAAAGTACCTTCACAGTATAGCTAGATTAGTGTTAGGATGAATAATCAGGGTATATGAAGCTTGGGAGACCAACTTTACAATCACAGAGCTCATCCATTTTTCATTACAGCTCTCAGTATCTCTCTAAATTTTCACTTTTGTCCAAATGTCCAGGTATTAAACTACTCACTAAAACCCACCGCTCTAGGAGTGAACTACCTTCTAGCATTCTCTAGCTATTTCACTGGGCCAGTCTCAAAATCTCTCTGAACAAAATAGGATGACCACATTCCATATTGGAGTAAGTGGGTTCAATTCCCAGCTCTGGCTGCTGGCTCCAGCTTCCTGATAATGTAGACCCTGTGAGGCAGCAGATGATGGTTTGAGTTATTGGGTTCCTGCCACCCATGTGAGATACAGGTAGTGAATTCCTGGCTTCTGGCTTTGGCCAGCCCAGCCCTGGTGTTTGCAAACATTTGGAGACTGAACAAGCAGAAGGGAGACTTCTCTGTATATCTGTCTCTGACTCTGAATCTCTGTCCCTTTGCCTTTCAAATAGATAAGTAACATTTTTTAAAAAAAAAATTGGTGGAAAATGGAATTAAAAGATAAGTTCATTTTGTTTAAAACATTTAGAAATCTGAGGTGGGTGTTTGGCAGACCAGTTAAGATTTCACTTGGAAAACCTGCACCCAGTATTGGAGCACCCAGATTTGCTCCCAATTCCAGCTTCCTGCAGTGCATTCTTTGGGAGGTAGCAGGAGATGACACAAATAATTGGGTTCCTGCTACCCACATGGAAGATCTAGATAGTGTTTCATTCTCCTTGTTTGGACTGGACCCATCCTGTCTATTGCAAGCACTTGGGGAATGAACAAGTAGATGAGAGATCTGTCTGTTTGCTTTTTTCTAGCTCTCTGCCTTTCAAATAAATAAATAGAAAGAAAGACAAAATTTGAAATCCATGCACATAAGAAAAATTCACAGACAATGCATG